GTAAGAAACCCACATTTTGAAAGATCTCACGTGAAATTGGGGGATCAGGGAGGGGGTTACGACATCTCCCCAGGGGACGAGGGAGGTACAGAGAATTAAAAAAAACAACTCACGTAATTTTTGGACGCCCCTAATCAGGATATGCTAAAATGACCTTTTTCGATGGCAATGTGGATTTTATTTTATTAAATGTTGCTTTACTTCATCGTTAATTGGATTTGAATTTTTTGGAAACATTTTTTGACATTCCCCTTCTTCGCCACGAAGTAGAGTGGTGGGTTGTTTCGCATAATCTTTTATAAAGCGTCTATCAGGATACAGTCCTAAAAAATTATCTAAGGTCTTTAAGTGTTTTGGGGTATGGAAAATTTGCAATAATTTTTACTTAAGATGGGGTTGTGGAAATACCGGCATCAGCAATTATGAATCCTAAAAATTCTACTTGCTTTTTATGGAACTCGAATTTGTCTGCTGGTACTTTCATATTAGCTTAACGGAGTGTATCAAAAATCATCTCGATATGCTCTGAATAAGATTTTTTATCTTTGCTAAATACTATTATGTTGTCTATATATACATAACATATTTTTCCTATTTATTGTCTCAAAATGTCGTTTAATATACGTTGGAAAACATACGGGAGTTTCTTCTTCAGTCCGAAAGGTAGTCTTGTGAACTCATATTTTCTGTTGCTCACTGAAAAAATTGTCTTCTCCACGTCAGATTCCTTAAGAGGAATTTTATGGAATCTTAATTTTTTCGCCTACACACCCATATTGGTGAGTTGTATTGTTGATCAACCAAGGAAAGAATGAAAGCTATGCGCGCTTTTTTAAATTGTTATTTAATTTTTTTATTTATAAAAATAAAAAATTATATAAATGTATGTATTACATGTTCGAGAGGATTTGAACTCAGGCAAAATATTTGATGCTGCAATAAGGAATTGTGCTATGCAAACAACACCACAAACATTATTGAACAAGGAGTGTTTAATGGGTGAACTCAAGAGCTATCATCTTTTCCTTGTTTCGAATGATCAATTTGTATGTGAATATTCCCTGAATTGCCTTTCCTTTATGCGCATGTCCAAATATGTATATAATATATAATTGCATGTATGTGCACATACATATGTAAGTATGTATGTCCCTCACTCAATATGCCATTTGTAAAAAATCAAACATTCGCGCAAGCGGTACAAAAACTCGCAGACGAACCATCATTGACCAAGATTCGAGCAAGCTTGCGACATATTTTCTAAGTAATTCATATTACAACGACAACATTTTTCATAAGAAACGCTCGTATGCTACAAAACAAAGTGCGATAGTTTATAACTCTGCACTGTGTTTTTTTTCACATTTGGTTTTCATAGGGAATTCCAACTCGAAAATGCTCATATTTTCATGTGGACTCTTCCTATATAATAACGGTACATGAAAATCGATTTTCCAAAGATATCTTAATTTATGGGTTATTAGTAAGTTATATTTCTATTCCGTAAACTTTCAGTCGTATTATTATATGACATTGTTGTTGAACGGTTTTCCAGACTCTGTTTGGGCAACAAGACGTAACTTCATTTTCATCAAAGTCATCTAACGGGCGGTTCATTTCCTTTTCGGACCATAGGAAGAGGAGTGTTAGATAAGTAGGTGTCATAGGGTATGCAAAGAGGAGGTTAAATTCACGCGAGGCTTGTTGCATACTGAACATGGATTAAGTAAGTCGGGTCGATTCTGGAAATGGCGTTCAGTGCATATCTGAAATTCGTTGCCCCCGTAGTCTGGTCTCTTGATGCTGTTGTTGTTGTTGTAACGGTTATTTAGTCCCTGCTTGGATGATAGGTTATAGTTTGGTTTTAGTCGAGGGCATCTAACGGGAGGCCCAAGAAACAAGCTGTTTCGACGGGGTCGGACCATAGGGAAAAGGGTGTTAGATGAGTTGGGTTTGTTGGGCATGCAAAGAGAAGGTTAGTATCATGCGGGGACTCATTGCACGCAGGACATACACTAGGTAGAAAAAGTCTCCGCTCACTAACCCGTGGAATGTGTTTCAATAAAATATTAATAAAATATATTCGTTTTTGAAGTTCTTTTCAGAATATCAGATACGCATGCTAATAGCATTACAGTCGCCAAATATCATGGAATTCCTATGTGCGTTTGCAAAGTTAACGGCATTTTTTAAATTCTACTAATGGAGAATAAGCAGAAAAAGTATCCGCTCACTGCTTATTACATTAGTTTATTGTAGTTTCTACGCGTTTAAGACCTGATAATTTGAAATGAGTGCAAAAGGCAAAGAAATATGTGTTGATGATAATATTAAAATTAAGGGAGGACGGTAAGAGCTTTCGTGAAATCGGACGAGTTGTCAACAGAACGGAGTCATCAGTGCGATACGTCAACCAGACTTTCAAAAAAACGGGAATTATTACTTCAAAGCCTCGATCTGGACGTCCGATAATATTTACTGATCGGGAAACACGCAAAGTATATCTCTTGTAAAGGTTAATCCGCGTTTAACCGCTTTCCAAATAGCAGAAGATGTAAAAATACGACTTAAAAAAACCATATGCGAGGAACAGCAAGAAAAATATTAAAAAGAGTTGGATTTCATGGGCTCGTGGCACTCAAAACGCCATTCATTTTCTTAAAAAACCGCGCATTGTATTCGCAAACGAACGACTACCAGCATAGAAATGCTCAAGACCGTTATATTGGACGAATGGAGTAAAATGTCAGCCCAAGATACGAGAAAATTAGTACATTCCATGCCTAAACGTCTAGCAGAAGCTCTAAAATTTCGAAGCTACCCCACCAGCTATTAAACTTTTTATAATTACTTGATATTATTGTGTTTTGGTTGATGAGCGGAGACTTTTTTTGTTCGAGTTAATTGTTTTTAAAATGAAAATGAACGCTGTGGCTTTTGTTTATTGAATAATTTGAAAAAAAAAGTAAATTATGTTAAGCGAAAAGATATGAATTAATAGTACGCCATTCACTGAGAGGGATTCGATGAAGATGTTGATGGCTCATCAGGAAAATCAAGGAAGCACCTCTTGATGTTCCTAGGAGGCGGTTTTGCTTCAAGCAGACGACTGCAGCAGAAACTGCTTGGAGAGGAGCTCGTTATATTCCTTAACTGGAAGCATAAGTACCTCACTGTGCAAGTGTTCTATTGGGGACATCAAGAGGCATCCCGTGATAGTCCGGAGTGCAGCTTTTTCGCCTACGTTGCACTACATCCAGGCGACCATATTGGTGATGCATAGTTTAGGATCGGCCGGCCGATTGCCTTGTATGTTGCCAGTAACGTTTCTTTGTCTTTTCCCCAAGAGCTGCCGGCAAGCGATTTGAGGATTTTGTTGCGGTTCTGTACTTTGGCAGTTATCGCGGTCGTATGAGAAGTGAAGGAGCACAGGCTGTCGAATATTACGCCTAAAATTTTAGGGTTGTTGACTGTCGGAACTTTTGTGCCATCGACTGAAATGTTCAGATTCAGCCTGTACTCCTTCTTCTAGTTTGTGAAAATGGTCGCTGTGGGTTTAGTGGGGGAGAGTGTCAGACTCCTTGCAGAGATCTCTTGATGATCGCAGATGATTGCAATGATGGTTTCAACGAAAGCATCCTAGTATAAGTTGCTTGGAGAGAGTATATAGTGTTCCTTAACCAACAGGTGTTCGATGGAAGACATCAAGAGGTATCCTGTTTTTGTTCAGATGACCATACCGGTGATGGTAACTTATGACCGGCCGGCATTGCAGAGAGGAAGCCAAAAGGATCCGTGAAGGAGCGTAGAAGTTCGTTTTAGTGTCAAAAGCTTTTTGAAAGTCTTCCGGTACTAGAAAACTCTCACAGGTTGATTTTTCATTTAGACCACAATGACTCGGCGTTTATGACTGTAAGTGCTGCAGTGGTGCTCTGCACTCTTGGTAGTGCGCTGAAGGTGCTCTTAGGAAGTTCTGTGAAGCATACCCGTTTAACTTTGTTATAGTAAACAAAGGTGAGATTGTCCAGAGAAATAGCCGGGGGGTTTCTCGACCAAGGTGGTAATGGTTTGATGCGAGAGTTAGCATAGGTCGCTAAGTTTTACTATTTATCAGACAACCGCTAATGAGTCATAGGTGCCCATAATACTGATGAGGATTTTGTTATTTACAACCCTACTGCTATACATTGTTCCAAGGATGACAAACTTGGTACTTACCGATCGAATCAGAGTAAGATCGCCGATCGCCCGCTATTGTGCGAACTGTCACCATCTAAACTATCTAGAGTTAGTATTAACCCTACATTTTTATACTCTCGCAACTTGTTGCTACAGAGTATAATAGTTTTGTTCACTTAACGGTTGTTTGTAACACCTAAAACTAATCGAGTTAGATATAGAGTTATATATATATAAATGATCAGGATGAAGAGACGAGTTGAAATCCGGGTGACTGTCTGTCCGTCCGACTGTACAAGCTGCCCCTTGAGTAAAAATTTAGATATCTTTATGAAACTTGGTACCGTAAGACGGTTGGTATTGCAGATGGGCGTAATCGGACCACTGCCACGCCCACAAAACGCCATTAATTAAAAACAAATAAATTGTCATAACTAAGCTCCGCAATAAGATACAAGACTGTTATTTGGTACACATGATCACATTAAGAAGCTGCATCTGTAGTTAAATTTTTTTTTAATAGGGCGTGGTCCCGTCCCTAATAGGTTTAATATGTACCGAATATGTGGACCCCAGTGCCTATAGTTGACTTTTTACCGAAAATATCGGTCAACATAGAACAAGGCGACAAGATCCACAAAGAAATCTAAAACGAGTATACCATTTGACTTTGCGAGAGTATAAAATGTTCGGTTACATCCGAACTTAGCCCTTCCTTACTTGTTCCAATTGAGTTTGTCACTATACACTCATCTTAATTTGCTTTAGATTAAAGATATTGAAAAAAGTCAAATTAATAAAAAAAAAAAAAAAATTGTATATTGATCTTCCCCTATTAGAAATTGAGGAATAAATGTTTTATTGAATACATTGAAATGCATACATGTTTTTAATAAATAAGATACATATATTTAGCATATTTGTCGTGCAATTTTGTAAGCAAAATTTAATATTATTATTAATAATGAACGTCCTCACTTTATTTTTTTTTAAGAGTAAAGAAAGATCTGCGTTTTGGTTCATCCTTCTGAGAAGTAGCTGGTAATGTTTGGGATCTGCTTTCAGCAACGGTTGCTGAATCACTTTGGGCCTTCAAGGAAGACACCCACTGAGACATTTCATCATCATCATGCGCTTGTAATAAAAATTCAGCGCCCCCAGAAAGCCTTTGAAATATGAAAACACATACGAAAAATATTGCATTTATTTAATTAAACCCTTGTTTATACTTACTTTATTCTTAGGACATGCTTCTTTTTGGTATAATCGGTAGCAATTTGAATACCTGCACCTTGTAAATCATAACATGGTTCTCCACGGAAAGTCAATTCAGGATTACTTTTATAACCCTTTTGATCTTTGTAGAATGATAAATGCCCTATTTTTGCAACTACGTATACCTATAAAATAAAAATAATTCAGAAAAAAAACCTTGATATTTTTACAAAGCGAGTCATACCTTATCCCACGACCTATTTGAGGCTTTTTTCGTAGTAGATTCCCATTCATGTTTTCTTGTGAGATAACCTTCCTGTCCTTCACCAGCGGACAAAGTTGAATGTTCTGAGTATTAAAACAATTTCATTTTAGAGTTTTTACAAACATATATGTGCATACATATTGGATTTGAAAATTTTTGAATGAAAGTACATACATTTGTATATACGTTGGAAGCATAATATCTAGTTTATTTGTGGCCATACAAATAAAAACAATTTGGTGCCTAAAACCTTCTAAAAAATGCAGCAAAAAACATTTAAAGCGCCAATACGACACGAACGTTGTTGTTGTTAATCCCCGCTTGGATGATGAGGGTCAGGTTAATTGTCGTCGAAATCAACTAACGCCCAGAAAACTTGCTGTTTCGACGGGGTCGGACCATAGGGAGAAGGGTCTTGTTGTTGTTGTTGTAGCGGCAGAATTCTGTCGAGTTGACAGTCCTTGGCCGGAATAAATCCGGGTCCGTTCCGGATACGTAGACCCGACTGTCATGGGAACGGCGTTAGATGAGTGGGGTTCATTGAGCATACAAAGAGGTGGTTAATGTCATGCGGGGACTTATTGCATGCTGTACATATACGTATATGTATACGACATATACATACGTATATATATAAACGACATATATAAATATATATAGAGGCATCCCGTGATAATCCGGACTGCAGTGTTTTGACATGTCTGTAGCTTCTTCGTCTAAAAGGTGATGAAAATCTCTCTGGTGGTTGAGGAAGTTTCGAAATATAGAAATTAAACAGTACCGGGGAGAACATATTACCCTGCAGAACCCCCTGTTTAATTTTTCTTAGTTTGGAGTTATGACCTCGAGATAGTACGGATGATTGCCGATCGCACAGGTAATTCATAGTCTACCTCTTCAACCCTGAAGTGAGCGTGATTGTTCAATATCTTAAAGTAGCGTTATGTGCTTGACTGTGTCAAAAGCTTTTAACAAGTCTAACGCTACGATCGTCCTCTCACAGGGTGGCTTTTAGCTTATGCCATAAACTATCTGGGCGTTTATGAAGCTAAGTGCAGGGAAAGGAGAGTTATCAGGCGATAAGACTCCCCTTTGTTGACGGTTACCCAGGTTACAGTAGTGGAACCACTCCTCCGATAGTTAAAGAGTGGTCAGCGACAGGTTGAGGACCTTGATTCGAAAGCTTACTCCCGTCGAGCCTCGGTGCTTTAGCATCAGCATGTTTATTCCAGATAATTTTGTCTTGTTGATGACACTCCGAACCTCCTCATTGGTGAAAGGGGCGCACAGGCTTTTGGCATTTAGCGCAGCGGGTAACACACCGTTTGACCTTGTTAGTCGAAGGGTGCAATGTAAACTACCGGCAAAGTCGGGAGGTTTCTCGATCGAGATAATTATGGGCAGATTGTCTGATGCGAGGGTTAGCATAGGTCATCAGGTAATGAGATAATGCTATTTATCAGACCACCGCTTGCGATGATAATATTGTGATCATTTGATAGGCAGGAATGCCAAGGATCGAGGTGCGCGTTAAAGTCGCCAAGTACCAAACGGTTTTCACCACGAAGTAGCGCCCCTGTAACATGTAACATAGGGGATGTATATATTGAATATTTCAAGCTCGACATCGCCTCACCTGATATTCATGGGTACAATCCCTGTGGTCGATGTCACCATCGACAAGACAATATTGCATGGTGTTGTGCAGTATAAAGGCTAGGCCTTCACCATTATCTCGCTCGCAATCCTTACATAGACTGGGAGTCGTGCTGCCTATTTTAAGTCCCTTGGGACCGGAAAAGTACTTTATTGACCACTCAACAGAAGTGGCGGCGCAGTACGCGAACAAGGTGCATTTTGCACAGCTGTTGAGGCAGGTGTCGCATTAGTGAGTGGTAGCATAAGGCTGCTGCTAGCAATGGCTTCAGTGAAGACAATCTTAACCTAAACTCACCGATCCAAACAGCGTTAGTTCCCCGCCAAAATGACAGCTCGGCTGTTGTGGGAATTGGCGAGACAAACGTTAAGTGTGGGTTGTTAATAGGAACAAGTGACTATGAAAATTGCGAACCATACGAACCAACATGCAATGCATCTCAAACCCAATCATTTAATACTTTTCCTATTGTACTTGCGCTACTCGATATTTCTTCTTCTTAGACCTAAACTTTAAATATATAGAAATATTACACTTTTTTAAATTACTTTAATGTCTTCACTTGTTTTAGTTATATGGTCAATATCTGAACACACTTTTATCATTGATTGATTAAAGTACCTGTTTGTTGCTCTACAGTACGTTCCATATCAACAGATGCATCTACTACGACTTTTCCAACGCAGCAAAAATATTTAAATAAAATATGAGACCGAAATTAAACAGTATATATAAGTAAAAATTACACATTTAGTTGACAATGTTTATACTTTCCTTGGTGCAAGTATTTGAGTATTTATTTGAGATCATCAAATAAAAGCGTATGCTTGTACTTGTATATAATGAATAAGACAAAACGTGAATCATAAACTCAAACATAAAAACGAGTTTAAGGTTTCTTTATTTCATTTTCATTTATTTAAAATATTTAATCTCAAGAATATTGATTTCTTTAATTTTCAACTTTTATTTAGTCTACCCGTAGTTCCTAATTGTTTGAGGTTTCGCGGGCAGAAAAAAAACCTAATTTTCTAATAACCACCGCCATTCGATTGCCAATATCTAGTAAAAATACATCAGTCACTCGAAAACAGATAACATCAAGATGCACACAATGAACTAAGAGAGAGTTTTGACCAATACTTAGCAAAGGTGCAATTACTTCTTCGTGGCATTAATTGAGAATATTATACATTTTTTTGCTATATGTATTTGAAATAAAGTTCAAGTAATGCTCTGAGAATAATTTCGCCTAGGTTAAAACCTTTATATAAAAGATGTGAGCAACAAAATAAAATTCAAGAATACAACTCTTTTAATAATCGTAAAAAATGTTAATTGGGCTAAGTTGTCTGAATAATATAGCTGTTATGAAATTTTAAAAATTACCTGCTGATTCTTCAGCCGCCGCTGCTGCGGCATCGACAATATCGCGTCTCTCTGCTTCCCGTTTAGCCTGTTCAGCGGCTTCCAAAGCTGCTTTGGCCTCCAATTCCTCTTTTACTCGCTGCCTCTCTGCTTCCTCCGCCAATTCCTGACGCCTCTTGATTTCCTTAAGCTCAAACTAAACAAAAAAAAAAAAATATATATATACATATATATTTAAACAATATATATTATATGTCAAGTCATTGAGTAAAACTAAGTTATGGATAGTTCAAAGAATACTGTTTACAACGCTATAAACTATTCTCAAATACTAATTACTGATTTATATCTCTGAATAAAACGAAAATACCAACACCTTTGGTTATACATTTCACAATTCTATTGGCACGATTGCAGGACTACTCAATCTCATTCCTTATAACTTGTGCAATTCATTATTGTGGGGATGCGTTGTAAAAATACTTACTGTTGTTAAGCGCTCAAGAGCACTAAACCGTTCTTCTTGGGCAGCAGCAGATTTTTCGAATGCTTCATGTTTTTTAATTAGGTTCTCAACTTCATCAATGGTGTGACCCAATTCTGAAGACAAAAGATAAGGTTCTTGGGCAATAAGCCAAGCCTCAGCAACGGCAGCATCTCTGGCGAACTGGTATACCTCTAAAACTATATTTAAAAATTCCAAATGAAAAGAAAGAAATAAAAATCGTTTCAATTGTAATATAATATATAACCAATTTACTTAGTTGTAAATTCTCCCATCTCTCTTCCCAACGTCGTAGCAAGCCATTTCGACTGTTGTTCAACTGCAGAAGCCTATCTTTAATATCTGCTGATGCATAATGACTTCTTGCCAATAACTCTTTACCAAGAGATATACAGGCGGCAAAGTTATCTTCTCTTGTATCAATTTCAGCTTTAAGACTTTGGTGATTATTCATAAGTAGTTCAACCCCCGAAACATCTCTAGGTTTCTCAGATGTGTTCATTTGTCGCACTAGATCCTCCATCCATATCATTAATATACGAACCATATTGAAGAATCTAAATAGATCGCCAGTGTCAGCTAGTTTTTGCTTACGAGCATCACACATTGCTTGCAAATTAGACCAAGCGTGTAAAACCTCTTGCTCTCGGTTAGTGATTTCCTTTGCTTTGTCACCAGCGTATGAATCTTGCAGTTTCGCTGATTCGTCTTGAATTTGTTGTACTTGTGAATAAAGTGTCATAAGATCTTGCATGAAGTTGTGGTGTTTTCGTTGCAAAGTTGATACAGATCCTGCATCTCGTCCCAATTCATCCGAAACACCATGTTGCTTCTCAATAATACGACTAAGGATATCTTTACAGTCATGGAAGAATTTGTGAAGTTCCTTGGACGCAGCCAACATTTGAGTTCGTGTTTCAATCAGTTCCAAAAGGTCTTGCCAGGATTCATTCAAATTATCTTTCCACTCAGCAATTGTAGCCGAGTCGGAATGACCAGCTTGAATTAAGTTGTCAGCAATATTGTTAACCTTAGCAACTCGTTCGCCGCCAACGGCTTCAGTATCACGTGCAAATTCATCAAAGCGCTCCGACAGTAATGTTACGTGATCATAATCTTGTCCAAGTTCTTGGGATCCAGCAACAACTTCCCGGTCTGTAATCCATTGTTCCAAGTCATCAACTTCTCTGCTCAACATAAATAGTTGTAGAGCTTCATTCAAGCGCGCCCGACGTTCGCCAGCCAAATCCTTAAGGCCAGCGTAAAGTTTGTCCAATTGAGATTGCTTAACGGACACGGCATCACCACTACCACTGTCCTCGGTATTGAATTGTCTTGCAACTTCGCCTAATTGTCTAATTGTATTAGCATAGTCTTCAACAGATTGTTCTAAATTTTCATGTTTTTTCATTAGATTTTGTGCACTGATCTCATCCTTTCCACGATCCTCCACCATCATGTACAACTCCTGTTCGCTCATCCACGATTCAGCCTCTTGCGCATCGAAAAAGTATTGTTGTACCTTCTCTGATTCTAAAAGATTTCTCTTACGATTATCAATAGCATCTTTAAGTTCTTGCCATTTTTGAGTTAGATCACTAATCAGACTTTCAAACTTTTTAGCATCTTCATGACCTTCATCTATTAATTTTCTGCCGTTATTGCATATAGCCATTATTCTAGGTTCGTGGTTATCAATTTCAGTAGCAAGAGATTGATTTTTCTTTTTCAATACATGAACATTAAATAATGAGTTACCATAATCTTTTGAAGTAGCTAAAGGTAACTTTTCGTCAATCCACAACTTTTCGTCTTCAACGTCCCGGCAGAATTGGAATGCTTCCTTCTTCTTTTCCAGTTGCTTTTGGCGTTCCACAAGTGGTGCTTTGATTTTCTCAAACCTATCAAGAACTGCCGTTTTCTTAGTAACAATTGGTTCGATCTTCTCTAATGGAGTTGTCTTTTGCAAATATTCAGTTTGTTTGTCGATCTCCTCTACCTGCCGTTCTTTAGCTGCCATTTGAGTTTGTATGACTTGTTGCTTCTGCATAAGAATATTAACTGACGTGAGGTCATTGCCTGTGTCAGCATTGACGATTTGTTTTTCCAAGTCGGTAATATAGGAATCAATATCGTCGCAAGTTTGTTGTACCAGAACTTCTCGATTTGCATCGAATAACATTGCGCCTTTCTCTTTTGTGTGCACCTCTAAATCTTCGAATTGCTTGGCGAGTTCTTTTAACTTTGGTTCTATAATATCTTTGAATTCTGGTTTCTCTTTAGACAAATCCTGAGCTGCCTTTTCCGCTTCAAATAAACGTTCTTTGTTGGCCGCAATCTCTGCTTCGAAAGCTTGATGTCGTGTCCATTTGGAATGAATTGTCTTAGCACTCCTGTAGGTCTCATCCTGGGATGTTACATATCTTTCCTGTACCCATTCCGCCAATTCTTCAAGATCTTGTAAAAATTCATGCAATTTGACTTGATTCTTTAACTTCTCGTGCTGATCCAAAGCTCGTTGGCGATTATCATCACGACGACTTGAAATATTTTCGGCTCGCTTTCCGATTTTCTCAGCGTCGAAATGTTCTTTCTCCACAAGGGTGTCAGCTACTTGCAACAAAGTATTTATCTTATCATCATTTGCCTCCATGGTAGTGAGGAATGCTTCATGACGTTTAAGTTGATTTTCAGCTTGCTCTAAATTAACTGGAGTATCATCCTTACTAAGGAAATGTTCTTGTTGACTTAATAGCACTTCTGTTTGACGTGCATCTCTATTGAATAACTGTTGATCTAGGCTTTGTGAGAGCAGAACTTGTCTATTTTCCCACATTTGATGCAACTCTTCCCAACCATCCTTCAAAGCATTTAATCGCTCACGAAGGAACATATATTGTGGATCATCCGACGTATTCGATTCTGATGTTAAACGCTCGCCATATTCCATCATGTTCTTATAATCTTCAGTGTAATTGTCAATTTCCTCGCGAATTGATTGATGTTGATTTAAAAGCTTCTCAGCTTCCGGCAAGGAAGTTGGAGTATCTTCAGATGCCACGTCAGTTTGAGTTTTAGTTAACCATGTCTGGAAGTGGTCCAAATCACGCAAAAATCTGTGCAAATCACCTGCTTCTTCCAATTTAGAGTCACGTTCTTTCAGCATTTGGGTTAGTTGCTCCCAAATAAGCTCAATTTGAGAAATTCTATCCCGGATTATTTGTGCCTCTTCTGGATGTTCATTCTCAATACTATCGGCTTCTTTGCTTAAGCTAGATAGTTTAGCTTGAATAGCTGCCAAATCTCTTTCCATACCACTAAGACGTCGTTGCAAAGTCATCACACCAGTCAAGTCCATTTCTAGGCTGTCGGTTTCAGTTAAAATGCGTTTTTTGTCTTCGATCCATGATATTGTTTCTCTGCATTCAATATAGAATGTTTGCACTCCGTGGGCGGATTTCAAATCATCCATTTTAGCTTCTGCTTTTTCACGTAAGGTAGACCACTCTTGATTAAGATGGTTCTGCCTTTCCAATATTTCATCCGAATTAGGGTGTTCAACATGCAACAGTTGCCTAGCTAATTGATTAACAACGGCAACACGAGAAGCATTGGCATTCATCTCTTTGTCAAAACCTTCGAAGCGATGCTTCATTATTTCGACATCTTCAATGTCTTTTCCAGGCGTCATTGTATCTAACATTTTGGTCTTTTCCTTTATCCATTGCTCAACACCGTCCGCTTCAGACATCAACTTATAGAGGCTGAGGGCATCTAATAGTCGTTGTTTGCGCAATTTTGCTAATTCAGTTAACTCCTTGTATCTAGTATCAATTGCTTCTAGACGCTTATCTACATTTGCCTTTTCTGTGTCGTTCAATTTAAGATCTTCAGCTTGCTTGTGTAAAGCGTTTATAACTTCAGCGTAATTTTTAAGTTCATCAGCAACATCCTTATGCTTTTTAAGTAACGACTGTACGTTAGCTTCATCGCGTCCAACATCTTCGCTTGAAACGATTCTTAGCGTATCAAGCATCCAATTGTCTACATCGTCAGCATCAGCAAATAATTGGAAGTATTCTACGGCATTTTCTAGGCGTTGACGTCTGTACTTAGTCAAATCTAGCAGATGATCCCATTTAGAAAGAATTTCCTTCAAACGATCCTTAATACGATCAGCTCCAAAGTGACCTTCAGTAATTAATTCGGCACCTATTTTAGCAATACCTTGCAATTGAGGATCATGCGACGTAATTTCCGATTCCAATGCCTTATGTTTGCTCAATAATAAGTTTACTGTAGTTAAATCGTGTCCAATTTCATCGGTGGATACAATTTGTTCCTTTTCTTTTATCCAATTTTCTTCATCAGCGGTATCCCAATAGAATTGCCACAATTTTCGACTTTCTTCCAGACGGCTTCTGCGCTCCACAGCTAGACGGACTAATTCAGCATATGCATCTTCTAATTGTTGCACACGACTAACAATGATTTCAGGGTCACACGGTTTATATGACTCTGGGTCATCACTTAAGAATTTCTGAGAATTTTGGACTACAACTTTAACACGCTCTCCAAGAATGTTGATATCTGCTTCGACAAGGGAATGCTTTTGAAGTAAGTCTTCTACACCCATAAGGTGTTTTCCATAGTCATCAGTTAAAAGTAGCTGCCTGATTTCCTCCATGTTATCCAAAATATATAGCATTTCTTGGAAGTTTTGTTGCAATTGCAACGATATTTCTAACCGCATTCTACGTGCGCGTAATAGTTCTAGCAAGTAGGTCCATAATCGCATAACGTTTTCCTTGCGCAGCAATATTCGCTTAACATCATGGTAACGTTCTGATTCTAATTCATCGCACACAGCAATGACTGCTTGTACACGTTCTTCATAAGCAAATATATCTGTTTCAATAGCTTCGTGTTTCTTTGCCGCAGCTTCTACCGCTGTTAAATCGAATCCAAAGTTATCCTGGCTAACTAGCCTTTGGTTCTCGGAAAGCCAGGTTTCCCTCATTGAAGCTTTTCTATCAAAACGAGCAGCCAGTTGTTCCAACTTCTCTTGGCGAATGAGCTCTTCTCTTAACGCTAACTCTCGCTCATGTTCTGCTTTTTCTAAACGCTCCCAAGCTTTATTTATATCAGAAATCATTTTTCCTTCTCTAGGGGTATAGGGTTTCTGATTGTTTGCCCGCATTTTCGATTGAAGCGTGAATAATAACACTTCTAAATTACCCTTTTCCACAAACTTTGGAGGCTTTTCAATAGTTCGATAATTTGAAAACTGCGCTAATTGACTTTGCACTCCCGCTAAGGAGTTTTCAAATTCTCTTTCTCCAAGGGCTTGGATAGTTGTTTCGATCCATTTTAATAAGTCACTTGTGAAATGTTCATAGTCATTAATCATTTTATCGTTTTCCATGGCAATTCCTACAACTTTTCCGATTCGTTTGCCTTGCACTGTCTCTTGCTTTAGCTTGCTGAAGTAATGATAATAGGTAACCACATATGTGATTATAGACTTTTCATCAGGATGGTCGACAAACACATCTTCAGCATCGAGTAACTTTGCAAGACCCAATTTATCTTCGGCAACGTCGAAGGCATTATTCAGATTGTACAGGGGGTTCGCTTTGGACAACTTTTCAAATTGCACCAAATCAGGTCGGTGTTTATGAATTATTGCATTGAATGCGAGTCCGTCACGCCAAGAAGTGGTAAAGTTTCTGACATTCACATTATTGTATCCAGCAGTTTTCATTTGACACCACAAAAGTAACGCATCTTTAGCAGATTTAGTCTCCTTGTTGTCAACTTCTTCAATTGTAATATCTTGAATCTAAAAATTAATTAGTTGACACCATTTAGATATTTAGATATTAAAGTGTAAGATAATAATAATAATTTACCTGGAATCGCAAAATGATAGTCCAAATTAAACCCAAATTGAGAGAAGCGTTTCCATCCACAATGTCATGCGATCCTATGTTTTCTAAATGTACGCGTTGCTCACGTAAAAATTGCAGAGCTTTGTCCACATTTTCCAAACAATGGATCCTCATTTTTCCTTTTGTTGGTTTTGGTAGACGTTCACCAGATAATACTTCTAACAGTTTTATAAGATATTTTCCGTCACGCATATCTACATACAAATCCCCTATTCTGCAGTTAACTCTACACAAATGTGAATTAACCCACTTTGTAAACGTTTTCTTTTGAACGTTTTCTCGTTCTTCAGCAAGAGCCTTTATACGCGATCTTTCAAAAAGTCTAGAGCTGGAATTCCCTCCGTCATATTCGTATTCATCGATATATTCGTTTCCAGGACCCTGGCTAGGATCCCATCGAACAATTGAAATGTCGGTCGTCATTTTGTCGAGAATTTATATCTAAAACAATATTTACCAATTTATATTAAATCAAAAAAACTTGTGTTCAAGTTGTGAGAAGCTGTATTAAAAATCTATATCTAAGTGGTAATTTACTTTTTTTCGTAATATTTCTATACTATAAACTTAAAATAGAGGAAATTAGTATTTCTCTATATGCCGTTCATGCTATTCTTACAAATTAATTAAGCGAATTATAGTTTGTACAACGCCCTGCTGTGCTTACGCATGTAGTATGTGAACGGTGTATTAAAATCAAATGTGTAACGCATAAGATAAGATATGGATAGGTACGTCAACAAACGTTTTAAGGCACATAAATTTTTAATAAAAAACTTCGCCAAGAATTAAAATTTGAAAATTTAATGAATTATTCTTATATTTGTATATATTTTTAAAAACTGCAATTACATATACATAAATTAGAAAATTGAGTAAATCCTGATGTACTGAATTTTTTTTATGACGCGGAACATGTTTAACTGCTGATGCCGCAAAGTTTGGTGACTTGAATACATAGTTGTACAAGCTCTTAATGTAATCTACAAGTAAATATGAATGACTGCGGTCATTATCAATTACGTAATTAAATATTGATCACTAGTGAATAAATGTATAACTCCTGTATTGATGTTTAGAAATAAGAGGAAATGAGGAAATCCGTATTTAGTTACATTTTCGACTGCATATGTATGCATACATAATTATGAATAATACCGAAATAGTATATGTATTTATATTTATTTAAGGGCTTTATATATCAGCTTTTATCAGTATTAATTATATATATATATAAAATTATCTATTCCGACCAGAAAACCACATCCAATTTCCACTTTATTTTAGTATTATTATATTTTGCCCAAATAAAGTTAGCACTTTCACTTAAGTACCTAGATTAAACTCACAAGTGCATTGGTAGATTTCTATGTGTAAATTTAAGCCCAATTATATTTTGATTTTCATAATTTATTCACTGTCTATAATTACCTTTAAATTTTTTTTAATAGAAACACTTTTTAAATAAGGTTCCTAGTTCACCAATATTAAATATATTAAATGTTCACGACCCATGATAATATTACAGAATGAATAAAGCGAGGTGATGTCATCAATGACAGTGAACAATTTTATAAACACCATTCATTGCTATTACTATACTGTGGATATTACATACTTCTGTTCCAATTTTCTACCACCACAGCCTCTTCAACACTTTCCTGGGCGTTGTCTTTTTATGTTTTAATGATCAGCAAAACTTTTGAATAAACATTAACAATACATACCGCTCTCTGTCTTCTGTATTTTATGTATTAATTTTCACTTCGTTTGATCAAAATTTAAGCGTTTAATAAGGAAATATTCTTTTAAACATTCAATTTCTTATAAAAATTAATTTTCGGAAACAACAGCAGAACGACAACTAGAGAGAAGTGAAAAATTATGTATATGTTGTCTTTATACGACATAGTCTGCTTTATCGACAGTATCCATGGTTGCAATTTTTCAACCAGAATTATGCTTCAAACAGTCACCGACGCGAAACCGTGGACCGTATTAGCTGACATGACCTATCTTATGTAAGCGCAATGTAAATGTACACTCACCTGCTTGCTTCTACCGTCCGCTTCTACAGACCGTACGGTAGGATATCCGCGAAAATTGGATTTTTCCTATAGGAACGAGTGAGCTGAGAATGAGAGAGCAATCGCTTGCAACTTAGGGTTGCCAGTCTCAATATTTTGTAGGAATTAAAGAATAAACTTATATATATGTGATATTTTCTTTATACAACTCAAAATCACAGTCGAATATATTAATATATAAATCGGTACACTATTTTTAACAGTTGGATTCTAGTTTTGAGCTTTTACGTTATAAAAAAATTAGGGTCGGCTTTAAAATAACGTCCCACGCTTTTGTGGATAAAATGGGTATGGGCGGATAGAAGAGATCCTCCAGATCAAGAATATATATAGATATAGTCGCGGGAAACTTATAGTTTTCGAGATATTTACGTTTAAAGTTGAAAATTTCAACTATTTAAAGTACGTATTTTTGCGATTTAAAATTAATTATACACTTATATTTTTCACTTTTATATCCACTAACACTTGAATAATTCGTTTTTAGAAATTTTTTTTATATTAGATGCTGCAAAAATAGCTTTATTTCAATATTTAAATCATTCTTTAATTACAATATTACAATAACAAAATGGTTGTGAATGTCAAAACATCAGTGTTGCCATACTAATATATTTCGTAAACGAAGAAAAATAAAATAAACAGAGAGATTGTACCCTAGATACAGGAAACAACGCAAAAAGAATTTCTGCGCGTAAAAACTTTGGTACACCCCGGTGTTGGATCGACCAGGGTTATTTTTTTTTAAGCGCGGCCGAAGGCCGCCAACGCAAAAAGAAGTTCTGCGCGAAAAATATTTTGATACACCCCGGTGTTGGACCGACCAGGGTTATTTTTTTTGAAGCGCGGCCGAAGGCCGCCAACGCAAAAAGAAGTTCTACAAGAAAAAAGTAATATTGTCATAGAGGGTATAACATAATACTTAACATCAATGCTTTGTAATAGTTCATTTCTCTAGGTTTTGGATTCTTGTATTTGGGGCATTATATGTTTTAATTTCTTTCAGTTCAATTACAAAAGATGTCGATAAGGTAACACTGGTTATTTGAAATTTTGCAACCCTTTTGCTATTGTCAGAAATAATAGTATTTAACTATTATTGAATTAAACTATTTTTGCACTATATAATGTAAAATAAATGTGTACAAACGAATTAGTGAAGTGTTAGTGGATATAAAAGTGGAAAATATAAGTGTATAACTCATTCGAAATGGGAAAAATGCGTACTTTAAATAGTCGAAATTTTGAACTTTAAACCCAAATATCTCGAAAACTATAAGTATCTATATATATTCTTGATCTGGAGGATCTCCTCTATCCGCCCATACCCATTTTATCCCCGAAAGCGTGGGACGTTATACTAAAGTTTTCCCAAAAATTTTAACTTAAAAACTAAATGTATGCAAAATCGTATATACAGATAGAATAATGGCAACATTGGTTAAATGAAAACAAAAGAGAACAACTGATTTCTGCGTTGCAACTACAGGCATAACTTTTGACATATTTGGTTTGATACGGGCGGTAAGTGCGGAAGGGTGGAATGTCGGTGACTGTTTGAGCTATTAAAGCCAATACGAAAAGCCCTGTTCACGTGTTAATAAAAATATTCTTACCACAGTTTGTACAGGCAATATAAAATATCAATACATAAAACCAATGCTACGATTTTGTTTAAAATATTGCGACGAACACCGTGCCAGAACAAAATAGAATCGACCATAAATAGCCAGATTTAACTAGACAGCGATATTCGTAGTTGCCAGAATGTTCGACTGGCCAAGTTAAGTTAGTCGGCGTTCACATGCGGACTCTTTTGTCACTCATTATGGAGCGAAAAGAGTTCAGGGGAAGACTTTGGTATATCACCGTCCGGATTCGGGGAAAGTTTTGTTAAATTTTACTTGTTTACACAATAACAAAATGTTTCCATACCAATATTATGCAAATGAACAAAAATAAACAAAAAGGAAGAGATGAAACTGCAAATATAGGAAACAAATAGTCAAAAAAAAGAGGAATTGTTATAAAGAGAGTTATACCCTCCCTGACCTTATAAGTCAATATTCGATCTAAACCAGGGATGTTCATACTTCTTACGTATCGAACACTTTCTGCATTGTCGGCCTTCGGCCGCGCCTCAAATAAATAACTCTGGCCGATCCAACACCGGGGTGTTCCGAGCTCTTTCGAGTCAAACTAGTTTCAGCTTTAGCGGCCTACAGCCGCGCTTCGAAAGAGTTACCCTGGTTGATACAACGAGATTTATCAAGAGAAGGGAAATACTGAAAGATTTTACATAAGCCATCACACTCTTGTTGTTAGTTATACAAGAATGAGAGTGTAACAGATTTTTCGATAAATCGTTTACCTTGTAACGTACACTTGAGTTTGATCACTGGGTTGTTAAATAAAAGTCCCAATTTAATGGCTATACACTTATCTTTATTTCTAATTCCAACAACTTAACTTTACTTAATCATCGAGTTTACAACTTATTGCTTAAAGCTCAATTTCTCTTTACACGGCAACACTCTAATTAAAGCTTGCTTGCTGCACAATTCGGCAGCCTCTATATAGTAAGTCGTTGCCAAATTACGCCACCCGAACATTCTGACTTGTGACGTAATCATTTTGAGTCGAGAAGAAGAAGCATGCAAATTGTAAACAAAAACGTAAACAGTTTTTTTATTCGTTAAATATACTTAATTTATTAGTTTGTAGTGAACAAGTTTTAGTGAAATTGATAGAATAATGTCGCGGGAAAATATTTTGGTAATTTTTTTATAAATACTTAAATCTATTGACAACATAATTGCCATTAAGTAAATGATTAAAAGGGATTGTGATTGTGATGTAGGAAAAACTCTAGTTTAGCACCCCACGATTTCAGGGTTAAGAGGGGTATGGTTGGATAGAGGAGATGCTCCAGATCTCGAATATTAGGGTTATTATTTGACAACATGGAACCCATTTGTTATTGTTCATATTACGAAAATTGTGTAAAAATTAAATGCTTATTTAAAGCAAATACTTAAATATTTAATATAAAATAAATATGTAGAAACATTGAAGTGAAAAGTTAGTGTATAATAAGTGCATAATATAAAAGAAAAGATAACCATAAATCGAGAAATTGTAAAATGAAGTTTGTGAAATTTTCAACTTAAAATGCAAATATCTCGAAAACTATAAGTTTCCGGCGGCAATAATTATATATATTCGTGATCTGGAGAATCTCCTCTATCCAACCATACCCCTCTTAACCCTGAAATCGTGGGATGCTTAACTAAAGCCCACCCGTGATGTATCCAGCAGTAGTTTATTTTATCATACACAAATATATACATATATTAATTATAGTTCTGATGTATTTAAGTGAAATTTTTCTAAAATTATAATTATTATGATTATGAAATTCACTTCGCCTACAAAAAACTAACCATTTATTGGAAAGTTTTATATCCGAAGGAAAACTGGAAAAACTAGTTTTTAATGCTTTATTTGCGTAATAGCTTAAACACAATACGGGCGATGACGTCGGTGATTAGAACACACGATTGTATACGAAGATACGCGACGGCGGCGAATTTCAACCACCATGGCGATTTTTGAGATAGAGCTATTTCTAATTTTATCGCAGATCGCGGCATCACCATATCAAAAAAAGATTATTTTCAGTGAAAATCTTAAAGGTTTTCAAAAAAAGATTTAAAAATATTTCTGCGTTGGCGATATTAAGATTGTTTATGTTTGGTTTCGTCATTTATTGTGATATTTTTGAGCGCGAAATACACACTAGCTGCAACGAAAATCTTCCGTATTGTGTTTTATACGGCGACAACACTCAGCGAAAATTATTCTGGCCTCGTCGCCGAGTGCGACGATAAATTGCTAGAGCAACTAGACAACGAATTCATAGTTGCCAGAATGTTCTAGTGGCGAACTTTTGCAGCAAACAAAAGTTGTTGGAATTAGATATCAAGAGTAAAGTATAGCCATTAAATTGGGACTCTTATTTAACAATTCAGTGATCGAACTCAAGTGTGATATACAAGGTAGACGATTTATGGAGATACGTTACAATAGTTACTGCAAGTCGCCACTGCATACTAAAGCTGCAAAACTATCTATAGTCGGATCACTCGATAGTTTATAAAATACTATCGACAATTTTTCATCATGAAAATTACTTACTTTTCGCTGGTATAAATTAAGAGACATTGGCTTTATACATTATAAAATAATATTTGAATTTATTTATTAAACAAAACATGGGCAATAAAGGAAAACACAAAGAGTTTAGTAAAGTTACATATAACATTTTTCATGTTACTATATAAACTGCTCTGAGAGCTAATAAGTTCTAAAAATGTAAATTTTTTTATACATTTACTAATGTATTATGAGAGCAAGAAATGTTTACTTAAAATACGTTTCGGTAGATTACTCGATTCAACAATAATGTACTTGTTTTTGTTTAAAAGTAGTAGTTTGTTGATGTTTTTATCCTTTAGTGCCGTTCTCCTATCAGATATTAGCAATACAGCCTGGTTAAACATTTTCTCCGACTCTGTATATCGTCTACCAATAGGGATAATGTAATTTTATAGCTCGGCGCAGCCATGTTTGTTAACGGATTTGGGTAAAATTTAGGCAGGGTGTTCAGTATTGTTTCCATTTTATTATGTCACGTTTCACTTTGGTACAACGATTGGAAATTGTCCAACATTATTACGCAAATTTACGTTCATCGAAAAATCATCCGCCCAGATGATTCTATTTTCTGGCTTAATTACTTCGTCAACAAACAAAATTGTCACTCTTGGGAGCACATGTCTCATAAATGGCACACAATTATCTGCATGACAAAAAAAACAGGACCAATTTTGATCATGCCCAACACACGTGGCAAAGAAGACATAGGAGTTATTTAACTCCCGACAGACTGAGTTAATTCAGTGGCCTGTCTTAAAAACAGATCTCAATCCCATAGAAGATCTATGGAGAATCCTTTCCGCCAAAATATTTGAATATTCGAAGCAATACGACAGCTTAAAAATGCCAAAGTAGATGAATAGGAAAAACTGATTTGTCTGCTCCAAAAAACAAACTGATGGAATCAAGGCCGTCGTATTCAGTAGGTAAAGATAATTAAGGATAGTACCATCTCATATTAATTTAAAAAAAAAATTTTTTCACATACCAAATAATTTATTTCACCATACTAAATATTTTCTATAGACCATTCAAGTATTAATGTTTTTAATACTATGTTAAGAAATAAATTTTAATAAAGTTTTGTTATACAATCCTTAGTTATCTATAAAAGCACTAACAAAAATTAAAAACTTGTCCAATTTTTTATTTATTTAAAACAGGGTTGCAAATAATGCATTAAAAAATATTTGAATTAAAATTTGTTTTATTTTGTAACCCCAAATACCAGATTAAAAAAAATATAATCCCACAAACCAGATTGAAAAATAAACAAGCAAGGAAGGGCTAAGTTTGGATGTAACCGAACATTTTATACTCTCGCAAAGTCAAATGGTATACTCGTTTTAGATTTCTTTGTGGATCTTGCCACCTTGTTCTATGTTGACCGATATTTTCGGTAGAAAGTCAATTGTAGGCACTGGGGTCCACATATTTAGTACCTAGGGGCTTGAACAGTTTTGGTTCAATTTAGATAATTTTTGGTCACAAGGTAGCATACTTTAAACGTATTATTCACGCAAAGTTTTACGCCGATATAATCATTGTTGCTTGATTTGCATATTGGAAAGTGAAAAAATCAATATCGGAAATAGGCGGGGTTGTAATCCAATTTCGCCTATTTTCGCACTATAACATAGAAATATGAGAAGAATGTTATGTACCAAATTTAGTTGACATCGGTTAAGCAGATCTCAAGATATGGGCTCTCACCTAAAAGTGGGCGGTGTCACGACCACTATCTTATTTTGAGCGTGGTTCCCATAAAATCATCTTATACCATCCCCATACCATTAAACTTATTAGTGGGCGGTACCAAGCCCACTTTAAAAAAAAAAGTAACTGCAGCTGCCCCTCCCTAATGTGATCCTGTATACCAAAAAACAGTGTTGTATCTTATTGTGCAGCTTAGTTATGTCAATTTATTTGTTTTTGAATAATGGCGATTAGTGGGCGAGAAACATGTGTACCAAGTTTCATAAAGATATCTCAAGTTTTACTCAAGTTACAGCTTGCACAGACGGACGGACAGACAGTCACCCGGATTTCAACTCGTCTCTACATCCTGATCATTTATATATACTGTCAGCGTCAAAAGAAAGTGTACACCTTTTTCTCATACATTTCACTCTTTATTTCAATATAAAAATATTAAATTTTTTTCAAATCAATTATCATTTATAAATTATTGAATATTGTTCTTACAAAAACTTAACAGCAATCCAAAATAAAATCGACAAGTACAAAACAACACATACAAAACCAAATATATTCAATATTTCACGCGTCAAAACAAAGTGTACAGTTTAAGAAAAATTTAAAAATTCAAAAGCTAATACTTTGTTTGTCTTCCCTTTGCATGGATAACTGCTTCCAACCTCCTTGGCATTGATTCCACTTAGTTGGACACTACTTCCGGGGAAATTTTGGACCACTCCTCTTGTAAAATGTCCTTCAGAGAATTTTTACTGGTTATGCTCCTTTTTCTTACTTTCCGGTCCAAATGTTCCCACAGATGCTCAATGGGGTTTAGGTCCGGTGATTGTGGAAGACTATCCAGCTGTTTTGGTGTACGGTAAAGCAACCATTCCTTTATTATTCTTGCCGTATGCTTAGGATCGTTATCCTGTTGGAAGATCCAGGATTGATCTAAGCCCAATTTTTCAATACTGGGGAGCAAATTTTCTTTTAAAATGTTTAGATAATTTATTTAGTTCATTGTGCTATCAATCAGCACCAGCCTTTACACTCCACTTGCCGCCATACACCCCCAAACCATCACCGAACCCCCACCATGCTATACAGTGGATGTAATATTTTTCTGTTCAAACTCTTGATTTTTGTTTCTCCAAATTTTAGTACTTTTTTTCTTCCTGAAACCTTCGAACGTGCTTTCGTCAAAAAAAATTACGTTATTCCAAAACGATTTGTCCTTATTTTTATATTTTTCCGGAAATTGCAATCGTCGCTTTTGTTTCTGTGTAGAGATGTGTGGTTTTTTCCTCGGTACCCGGCCATAGAGAGCATTGGCATGCAACGCTTGCCTGATCGTGCTGGCATTTACGTTCAGTCCGGATATTCTGGACATTTCCTCAGACAATTTTACGGCACTGACAGTTGGATCTATCTTTAGCTCTCACAACTGATCGCATTTCTGTATCACTGAGCCGCTTTGGCCTACCCGAACGTGTCGGATCTTCTAATTCTCCAAACTTTTTTTGCTTATCAATAATTTTTTTCACTGTGTTATGGCTTCTTCCAATTATCGAAGCAATTTCGCGGAAAAATTCTCCGTCTTTCCTAAAATTGATCACTAATTTTCTTACATCCAATGAAGTTTGCTTACCCATTGTCAAATTGATGTCCTCTTGGCAAATTTCCAAACGCAAATAAAATTCTATCTACACAAGGATACTAAATAACATTAGAATGAAGCAATTACAAAGAAAGAACTATGGATAACGATATATTTTTTTGCGTAAAATAAGTATGCGAGGCCTATTACCGTAACTGTACACTTTGTTTTGACGCGTGAAATACTGAGAATATTTGATTTTGTTCGCATTGTTTTTGTATTTATGGATTTTTTTTGGATTGCTGTTAATTTTTTGTAAGAACAATATTTAATCATTCATAAATGATAATTTATTTGAAAATTTTTAGATATTTTTATACTGAGATAAAGACTGAAATGTATGAGAAAATGGTGTACACTTTCTTTTGACGCTGACAGTATATAACCCTATATCTAACTCGATTAGTTTTAGATGATACAAACAACCGTTTGGTGAACAAAACTATTATACTCTGTAGCAACAAGTTGCGAGAGTATACAAAAATATTTAATCCCAAGCATATAAAATAATAATTACAGTTGAAGGCTTGCACATATAATGATTTGACTGGGGTACATATTATGACGAACACGGATGATAGAACAAAATCGAATCAACGAAAAAACTGCCAGAAGCAACTAGTTAGCGAATTCGTAGTTGCCAGAATGTTCTAGAAGCAATGTTTTGTTACAGATTTACTATATAAGGGCTGCCGGACTGTGCAGCAAACACAGTTCTAGTTGGAGTGTTGTCGTGATAAGAGCAATTAAGCTATAAGCAAGAAGTTGTAAGCTCGAATAACGAGCAATAAGTGTTAAGTTGTTGGAATTAGAAATAAAGATAAGTGTGTAGCCATTAAATTGGGACTTTTATTTAACAATCCAGTGATCGAACTCAAGAGTGAGTTACAGGTAGACGATTTATCGAGAAATCCGTTACAATATATTGTGAAATTCGACCACAACAGAATATTTGCATAATATTGTAACGGATTTCTTGATAAATCGCCTACCTTGTAACTCACTCTTGAGTTCGATCACTGGATTGTTAAATAAAAGTCCCAATTTAATGGCTATACACTTATCTTTATTTCTAATCAAAACAACTTAACACCTTACTAGAACTGTGTCTGCTGCACAATCCGGCAGTCCTTATATAGTAGAGATTTAACCAAAATTCCATATATGTAATTGTCTTAGACAAGGATAGTTAATTTCTCTTAAACACGGTATATTTCCTTCAATATGGAAACAGTCATTTATAATTCCGTTGCATAAAAGTGGATTTAGGTGGATTGCGATTGAAGCTATAGAGGTATTTAGGATTGAAAACCATAGAGGTATCGCAAAACTATCAGTTATACCTAAACTTTTTAAAGCTATCATCATTGTCCATATAACATTTTCGATTTCTCCGCTAATTCCCTCATCTCAGCATGGATTTCGTAAAGAGAAATCGACTCTAACAAATTTGCTTGAATTTGTAAACCACGTATCATTGGGTTTTAGGGAACATAAGCATGCGGATGTTATATACACAATCTTTAGCAAAGCTTTCGATAAAGTAAATCTCTCGATTCTTATACATAAGCTTAATCTGCTGATCTTTCAGGCAAGATTTCTTTAATGGGTAGATTCTTATCTTTATAATAGAACACAACGAGTGATATTGGAGGATACTCCTTCAGATACAATTAATGTCTCTTCGGGCTATGCTTGGCATAATATTCTTTATGAATTTCTTGATTGAAAAAGTTTGCTGTTATTTTCTCCTGTCTGAAATTAAATTAAATATCCCGGATCGCTTTTCGAGGCAGCTTAGACCTTTACGGTTAAAATCCTGTAGATCAAATTTCGAACTATTCCGCAGTATATGTCATGATTTTAATTCTCATTCCAGCACATTTAATTTATCTGATTCACTTTTCAAAATTGAAAAGATTTTATGAAAATATAACAATTTATTATATCGTAACTATAAATCTTAGCTGTTGAAAATTTTTGTTTCTGTAGCTGAGCAGTTTTAGATCTCAACACTTAAAAAACTTTCTTGCCTTTTCTGACTCGGCTAATTCCGCACATATGCGGATTGCGCCCCTCGCGTCCGTTGGGCGGTTATTCGAGTTTACAACTTATTGCTTATAGCTTAATTGCTTTTTACACGGCAACACTCTAACCAGAACTGTGTTTGCTGCACAATCCGGCAGCCCTTATATAGTAGATCTTTAACAAAAGTTCGCTACTAGAATATTCTGGCAACTACGAATTCGCTAGTAGCTTTCGGATATTCTTCTAGTTGCTTTTGGCAATTTATCGTCGGTTCGATTTTGTTTTTTATCATCCGTGTTCGTCACAATATGTTATTTTTGTGTGGCAATAACCAAGCAACCTGTTAAATAATATATCAACTTATTATGATATGATCGACTAAAAAAGAAGTTTGATTGTGATTGCCTTTTAAATAAAGAAATTATGAGTTTTCATGACACCAATGTTAATAAGAGTAAATAAAAAATCTGATATCACAAATAACCCACTGTTTTCGAAATTTTTTTCTGCGGGCTAGTTAGTAGTAGTTTGTTGTTTTACTTGTCATCTGTTCAGTAGTACACATTGTATAACCCTACAAGAAACCAAAGAATCAGCAGTTTTCCTATGTGTGTGAAACAGCCGTGATCACCTGATCGAATATGCCTTTTTTTTGACACAGAGATGTAAATGAAAGGCTTGTTTGTGAACATGTATTTGTAATGGAGAATATTAATGAAAACTTTCAAGAATATTTTCGAAACAAAAGATTATTATATATTTATTGCTTTTCCTCACAACCTCTGAGCTTGCAATATAGGTGCGTTACCGATCATTTTTGGGTGTTCGGTTCCCCAGGAACTTAATATTCACCCATATAATATATACAGTTCTAAAACAATCTACTTTTCATAACAATTGTAACTCGAAAAGATATATACATAAAATTAGGTTCATGAATATTAATTATTTGATTTGAACAAAAAAGAAATAAATATAAAAAATATTCTAAATCACCGTTACACAATAATATATTTGATAAAATTGGAAACATTTAATAATATTTCAATACAATAAATGATATTTTAAATAATACTATGTAAATTTAATCTTTAGGAATTAAAACAACCCAAAAATATTTGCATATGGAATAAAGAGAATTAAAGTTATAAATTTTAAAACATAACACGGCAACACACTAGACCAGATTTCTGTCATTTGGACGTTTTAGTAGTAGAATATTGGTTGGCAGCCCGTACAAAGTGTGACTTTAGTAGCAGAATATTGGTAGTGTGATTTTAGTAGTAGAATTTTCGAGGCAACCCGTACCAAGTGGGATATTTTTGCGTGTGTATTAGTGAAAATCTTAGGATTAGTTACTTGTAGATGTATACAATGGTTTAAAGTAATTGTTTCTTGTTGTAAAGATTTACACCGCATTTAAAAACGAAATGGCAAATATAACATCAAGAGTTTTTGCGGCAATGCAAAATTTGGATATCGCCGCTCTTTCCACTTATCCATCTCATGAAATACGTCCGGTGTTACCTTCGCTAGTAAGAATGAGTTTGCTGTCCCCTCTTGATAATACGGAGTCATCAATGGAATCGCGAAAACAAATTTTAGCTGTTCTTATTGGGATAGAGGTTGTAAATAGTATAGTTTCATACTTGCAAGTGAATTACCATGAATTAGAACAGGAATTAAAAAAAGAGTTGCAAGCACGGCAGAAGTCGATGTACTTCGAAGGACAGCAGCATGAATATGGTTTACAAACCGGTATAGCTCTTGGATTTGAGCGCGCCGATGTTACTCGAAAGGTGCGAGTTGTTTTATCTGAGATTTTTAATATTCAATGGCAATTATCGGATCAAAAAACATTTTTGCAATCAGAGATTCTAGACGATGGAATCTATTTGGAGGAAGTTGTTGATATTTTATGTATTGCCTTGGCGGAACTTCCTTCATTATTGAATATTTTGGAATTAACTGATGCACTGGTACATGTGCAAAACGGACAACGTATTATTTGCGCTTTAGTCGCAAATTTTCCTGATTGTTACAGGGATGTGGTGGCTCATGTTATTCTCAATTGTGATGAAGAAAGTAATGAAGGTAAACTAAAACTCTCATTATTAATGGCGCTAAACGAAATGAACCCATCCCAAGCATTGCCAACGCGGTCTATATGTGTAGAGATTTTAAAAGTTCCATCTTTTATGCTCAAACTTTGTTTAAAGTTTCCCGAAGACTTGGTAAGTAATAATTAAAATTTTTTATTGAGTTTTAACTATTCAAAAGAGCGGCCGTTCAGACAGAATTTGTCTAAAACAAAGTATTTATGATTCGGGGGAACGAATAATTTTTTCATATATATAACCTGGCCCCGTTTGCATGCTCACGCCTCCCCGGATCGACCAAGGACTTTGTTATGAAGTTTGACCACAGGCCACCAAAGCAAAAATAAGTGCTTTACGAAAGAACTAACTACTCCCCCAATCTTAAATACATTTTTTTGACATATGTATTTTAACGATTAAAAAAAAAATCGGTTTTTCCGCTCTCAAATAAATTAACACTTTTTCATATAAAATGTATAGTAATACAAAGATATGTAACATAAATTTTAATTGACGAAGTGGTGAACTTAATATTAATTAATATTTAAAGTTGGAAATATGCAGATATCTGGAAACGCATTTTCAAGTTGTAAAGTTTTAATTAGTTTATTTTTATGAAATATGCATTTGTACATAATATTCAATTTTTATCATTGGGAGTTTGTAATCTAATGAGAAAGAATAAGCTAATCCCTACGTCATTTAAAATATTATATAATATATAAAATACCCCAAGAGTACCAAAGTTATCTTCATATGCCAATAACAGGTAGCCATGAGTTTACATTAGTTTAACTTCTTACGACTGCTACTTTCACAGTAGCTTTTTGGGGATGTTGTGAGAGAAAACTCCACTATAAAAGGAGAAATTATTTTGTGTATAAATGTATGTTTATTTCATATGTAAACGTACGTATATATTCTCTTAGGTGGCCTTTCTCACTGGTATGCTACTCGGCAACGATCAAAATATTCGGACGTGGTTTGCTATTTATATAAGGTCCAGCCAAAAAAGAAAGAGCGACGCATTGAATTTAGTACGAGCAGAGCTTTTGCAACAGTTGCAAAAAAATGTGCAAAAATCCTTAAATCCAGGAAGTGGGGAAGATTATACTGTCCAAGGCGTGGTGTTAATGCGTTTATATTGCGCCCTACGAGGAATAGCTGGATTAAAGTAAGTGTAGCATATGCGTATATATGTACATATGTATAAATATAGCAGTTGTCAATTGTAGTTTATCAAATTTAGGTTGCAGAAAGTAAATTTTTTTTTTGAATTTTTATGATTTGAAATTTTTCTATAGTATAGAAAGGAAGGCCTTTTCTCCCGCACAATATCTTTACCGTTATCATCAGACCTTGCATAAGACTTTATATTCATATCTGATTGATAAATAAATACAGTTTGGAACAAGTAAGGGAGGGCTAAGTTTGGGTGTAACCGAACATATCATACACTTACAACTTATCAGGATTAAAGTCGGGAAAGTACCTTGGGGGGTTGGTCAAAGAATTCAACATTCATTGTTCGATGAAATCGTGAATGGATTGCACTGAAATTTGTGTCTTATTAACTTAATTATAAGTCATAGACTAAACTAATTTTTTAACAATATTTTATTTCCCGTCAGCATCCTCAAATAAGGCTCATCTGACATAAACTCAATCGAAGAGATACCTCACATACCATTACCAGTATATAAGGAGTAAAGTCAACTAGATGTTTGGAAATCCTGATACTAGTTATATGGGGTCTAGGGCAAGTTTTCACCCGATTTTAAAGTTCGAAAATATTTCTATTAGGTATGGGTATATAAGGGCTAAGGGAAGTACTGACCCGATTCAAACCAATTTGACACACATGCATACTGTTCCAGCCTAAAATAAATTAATGCCCAATTTACAATTTTGCTTTTGTTTAAATTAAATTACATTTTATTTCATTACACTCCTAATTAATAATGTGTTTAATATTATACTAGTACCTTTTTTATCCCGTATTGTGCCTATTTACTTAGTACCTACGTAAGTATGTAAGCATGTGCGTATATGTTTATGCGGGCGTAGGTATGAAAATATGTATTTTTGTGTGTAATAAAAAATGCAATTATGTACAATTCATAGAAAACCGTAATATATGTATGTAGATGTAAATATGTGTGCATAAGCGGTGCTCTCACAGAAGTGAATAGCCTAATTCATGGTCACGGTCATCCGATTTTGCACAGGGTCATACTTCTAATCAAACACATACTATCATCAGGAAATGATTCTTTCCAAATTTCAATTATACATCTTACACATTGACCGATATTTTCGGTAAAAAGTCAGCTATAGGCACTGGAGTCCACATCTCGGTATGGGGGAACTTAAATATTTTTTTTCCGATTTAGACCATTTTTGGTCATAAGATGGCACACCTCAAAGGCACTGGGAAGTTGACGTGGTTTTCGTCTAATTTCGCACTGTAATGTAGAAATAGAAAGATAATATTATCTACCAAATTTGGTTACTGGAATTTTGGTAAGGTTCAGTTTGGTTGTCGTCGAAGTCATCTAACGGGAGGCCCAGGAAATGAGCTGTTTCGACGAGTTCGAAACATAGGGAGAAAGTTATTAGATGAATGGGAGTGAAAGAGCCGGTGAAGGTGTTACTAGCTCCACTGTGAATGGCGGTCAGTGCATGTCTGAAGTTAGTTGCGTCCGAAGTATGGCCGGTGTAATGTTCAATGGCGTCGACGTAGTCACGGTAGGCCCTCTTGATGTTCCTGGGAGGCGGTTCCGCTTCAAGCAGACGACTACAGTTTCTACGAAAACATCCCAGCAGAAACTGCTTGGAGAGGAGCTCGTTATGTTCCTTAACCTGAAGCATACGGGCCTCACTATGGAGGTGTTCTATTGGGGACATCAAGAGGCATCCCGTGATATTTAGAAGTGCAGTGTTTTGACAAGTCTGAAGCTTCTTCGTCTGCGTTACACTACATTCAGGCGACCATAGTGATGCAGCATGGTTTAAGACCGGCCGGCCGATTGCCTTGTAAGTTACCAGCAAGCAATTTGATGATTTTGTTGTGGCTCTGTACTTTGGCAGTTATCGCAGTCGTGTGAGGAGTGAAGGAGCACAGGCTGTCGAATGTTACGCCTAAAATTTTGGGTTGTTGACTGTCTTAATTTTAATGCCATTGACTTAAATGTCTAGATCCAGTCTGTACTCCTTCATCCAGTTTGTAAATATTGTTGCTGTGGATTTAGTGGGAGAGAGTGCCAGGCTCCTTGCAGAAATGAAGCGAGAAAGGTCGGAGATATAGCTGTTTACTTTTGAGCACACTCCGTCGATTCCATTGCCCGACGTCAATATCGCGCAGTTATCAGCGTACGATGTGATGGAAATTCCCTCTGGTGGATTGCGGGAGTTTCGAGATATAGAAGTTAAACAGTAGCGGGAAGAGGACACCACCCTGCGGGATCCCTGTTTAATTTTTTTCAGCTTATAATTTTGACCTCGAAACAGTACGGATTAGTGCCGACCGCTCAGTTAGTTCATAGCCCACCTCTTCAACACTGGAGGGAGCGTGAATTGTTCGATGTCTTCAATTAGCGTTGTATGATTGACTGTGTCAAATGCTTTTCGGTACGTCATATCAGTTAAGTGCAACTCCTGTACTGGCTGGTGTTACTTTCCGTCGTGTTCCGGCCTGCGGAGTGGAGTGCGTCGCCAAACAACCGCCCCTGCGGTTATTATAGCTGCAACAATCACCACCTACAGGCACCTCCCTTACACCCAGGATTACCCCTAGACACCCGAGACAAACCCGACTCTTACAGTTAAACTGCAGCAGACTCCAAAGTAAGATCGAGGAGATAGTTGAATTCATAAGCCGGGAACACGTATCGATAGCTGCGAACCACCACTCAGGTCTTCTGAGTTGTTGATCGCTGCTGCTACCGCTCGTTCTATACCGGCTGGAAGAATCGCGAAACTCCGCTTTAATTTCCCAGCCGAAGCAGCTATTTTAACCAACGAGCGCGGCCGATTCCTGTGAGCCTCGAATAAGGGATCTTAATTCTGAGATTCGGCACATGGTAAACAAACTTACGCAGACAAAATGAATAGAGCATCTGAAGACCTGCAACCTCTCCACCGGTGTAAGTACACTTTGGGCTACTGTCAATGCCTTGTCTATTCAATTCGATGGCCATGGCTTCTCGGACACAAAGAAGTGCGCGAGCTATTTCAGTGCGAGGAACCAGGAGTTGCTAAGTGGTTATCGTACGGCGATTGGAGCGGGATAAAGGTTGGGGCGTGAAATAGCTAATGCCATAGTCATCTAATACGAACGACTACTTAATATTTTACATGGAGAATTACATATGAAAAACTGTTTAAAAAGTTAGTGTCACATACGTTAACAATTCAACAAAAACTGGATCGAAAACAAATTTCTCAGCATAATTTTAAGCGTTCTAAGCAAAATAAAACTGATTTCTTGCGTCGTTTTATAACTGTGGATGAGACTACCACCATGATCCTAAATTGAAGCAAGAAGGTTTACAGTGGACTGAAGCTGGTTGTTCAGCTCCAAAGCAAGTGAAGTCACAACTGATTTTTTGTTGATTGGTTATCTGCAGAAAGGTAAAACAATAAACTCTGAATATTATTGCAGCTTTTTGGATCAGCTGGATGAAAAAAATCGTGATTATGGTTTGCAGCACAAAAAAATCATTTTTCATCAAGATAATGCACCTATTCACAAAGGTGTTGATACAAAGTCAAAATTTAATGAATTAAAGTACGAATTGCTCAACCATACACCGTGTTCACCAGATTTGGCTCCCAGTGACTACTAGCTCTTCAGAAACCTGAAACAATTCCTTGGTGGAAATCGTTTTTCGTTGAATGAAGAAGCTATTACAGCCGTAGACGCGTATTTTGCAGAGCTTTCGGAAAGTCATTATAGGGTTGGCATAAAATTATTGGGGGATCGTTGGAATAAGTGTATTGAAGTTAAGGGAGATTATATTGAATAAAAAAATATATTTCGTACCAAACACAGTATTTTTTCATTTCGAGCGCAGAAACTTTTCAACCAACCTGTATTATAGGTCATATACTCAAACCTTTGATTGATAATATAATTGATGTTGAAAACGTCAAGCAGAGGATCGAAATTCATTATGTATATTAGGAATGTAAGGTTTAGATCTAGGTCTAGACCAACTCCATTAATATTCAGCGATAAACAATTAATTTAATTTTATAATTTTTAAAAAAACATTATTTCATTAAAATACATTTTGACCAACCTAAGCGGTTTAAAGTTAGATGGAAAGTAGGAAATCACTATACAGGGTATATTAACAGACAGAGGTCAGTGCTTGTTACATTGCTTATTTATACTCAAGAACATATTTTTAAGCAATTTTATAAATAAATAACTCATACGCTGACCGACATATTAGGCATAAGGTTTGTTAGATTAAGATATAATAAAATCATTATATGTAGGTAGGTAGAGTGGCTGTCTGACGACGCACCTAGGCTATAAGGAGGCCATTGTAATACCACCTGGACTAATATCCTCTCACTATATTGGCTCCTCTCTGAACCATCCCGTGCTTCTGATGAAATTCATCAGTACAGAAAGTTTTATTTGTTCAACCTCTGAAACTTCGTCAAGAATCCTTTGACCGACAGTTGCTATTCTTTTCCTGTATAGAGCGCTTTGCATTCGCATAGAATATGTTTTACAGTCTCCTCTTATTCTACCTCCTGACAGCTTCTACAATAGGCTTTGTATGGTGCCAATTAGTCAGTGACCTATGAGTACTCCTACTTGAGTTCTTATGTTATTCCCTTTGAATGTGTTCCATTTATGCCACGTGGCTAAATGACCACTCAATCCCCCCTCACCGTAAGACACTGTCACACTACACCAATTCACATCCACATCACCACACCTACTTACCATACATTCCACACCTACACGCACACAAATACAACTTAACACCGATCACACCACCATGAAGACATCAACAGATATATAAGGGACCAAAAGAAGGATCCCGCTTCCCTTTTTTGTATCGACTCGCTAGCGATTAGTTCCTTGAGCACCCGCCGAAATCGACTCTCTTTCCTTTTAAATTATTTTTTGCTAACGGTGAGTGAAGTGAAAAT